AAAGAACCATCAAAGTAAAAAAAAAGTTCAAGATATAGAGCCTAGTAGCCGATTTTGATTCAAGGTGACCATAAGTTTGTCCCACTTGTCTTTAGTAGTGAGACAATTCACAAACTCTTCAATAAGGTCGTCAACCATTTATACAATATATTATAATGTGCATAACGATCCTCTTTCACTCTTGATATGTTGCCAGTAATTTCTTGTACTGCGTACTAACAGTATCCTTTAGTTCAAACACTGTAGTAGACTACATTTCAAAAACTCGCATTTATTAGTTTCTTAGTTAGATGTCGTAATTCGTACAATCTAACTTTTCGTTGGAGGACAAATCTACAATCATATTATCATCTTTTTATGGCGTAAGATGCTCGTATCTTTAATCCGATAGTTACTAGAGTAGCAGGTTTCCTCCACGCTTTAAAATTCATGTCGTCTTTTGATAGTTTCAACATAACAAGAGAAAACACTACTATAAAGATGTATACTACTACCTCCTATTCTTTTTAAATGTCATTTTGGTTTTATCAACTGTTAACCAAAATAAATGTCGTTTTGGATCTTTTGTATATATTTTTCCATTATTACCCTCATTTAGTTAATAAATACACTACGTCTTTTCATATTCTCTTCATCTTTTTTTAAAACATTCATCTCTATCTTCATTAATGAGAGTTATTATTGGTAAAAAAAATTATTCTTAATTAGTGTGCAACTTCCCAAAACGACACTTATTATGAATAGGTGAGAGTATTTATTAACCACTATCTATATATATATAAAGAGGAGCAACATAGCATTTAATTATATTATCATGCATTAAATTTTATTACCCCTCCAAAATTTTCAATATTTTCAATATCATTTTTAAGTTACAAAACAACTTACTTGAATGTCATAAATTATGATCATAAACCAATTAATGGAGTTACAAAATTATAGTCAAATTTTAAGTCACACCCACTCATAAAAATGGCCGGATGTATTAACATAAAGAAAATAGTTGCAACGACTCTTCCATAGCAATTACATTATCAAAATCAATTTTGAAAATTATTTTCTTAATTCATATTTTTTCATGAATTATATTATGATTTATTTTTATTTTTTTTATATTATTATCTTTTTAAAGTATTCTTTTATGTGTAAATGCACATGTTGGATTGCTAGTTGCTTCAAATTTCTTTCTCCTCATTAAATAATCTCATTGATTAATCATATTGGATTTAATGAAACGTAAAGTTTGTGTTAATAAATGAAACAAGTAACAATGCATCACATTAAGTTGTTACTAATTAATTGATAAAAGGGTTAATTGCATTAAAAATCTCAACCTTTTGACAAATTGCAAATAAAACTCAATTTTTTTAATTTGGCATAAAAATACCAAACTTTTGTTAATTGTTGCAATTTTGTCTCGAAATCAAATTCCGGTGAAGCGATGCTGACGTGGCAATCGGAAAAATGACGTGGAACGCAAAATCACTTTTTCTTTTCTTTTTCCTTTTTCTTTTCCCTTCTTTTCTTTCCTTCTCCCGTCACTTTTTTTTCTTCTTCTCCACAGTCAGATCCCCAATTCTCCTCTTCCCAAATTCTTCTTTTTCCTTCCTCAAATTCTCGAATTCCCTTCCTCTTCTCCACGCCCTCGCTCAGAGCTCCCGACAACCGTCGTCGGCGGCCAGAGGTGGCGGCCTGAACAGGAAAAAATTGGAGGGGAGCAGAACCCGGCGGCGGCTCGGCGAATCGGCGACGTGCGGCAGCCGCTAGGCTCGGATTGCGCGTGGTGCAGTGACAGATTGACTTCACGAGAACCGTTGGGCTTTGGCGGCGATTCAAAGGTACGACTCAGCGGGTGGTCGAACCTTGTCGTGGCTGGCCGTCGGGAAAATCAAACAGATCCGATGGAATGAAGAAGCAAGCAAATGGAGAAGAAATGGAGAACAAATATATATGTATATAGCCTGTACACACACTGTAAGTATATTCCCTTCCTCTTTTGTAGTCATTTGTTTGCTCTTTTGTGTGTATCCGAACCTTGTGTGTATATTTATATATATTTGTAGCCTGTTTTATATATTTCGTTTTTTGTGGTGAATCAAGCCATGAATTCGCAGCAAAATTTGGAGGTGAATCGGTGGACAAGAAATTGCCGATGGAATGGAGAAGGCGTCATCTGCTGCTCTTTCTGAGAAAATGGGAAAGAAAACGGGCAGTGTGACGTTGTTGGGGGTGTAAGTTGGAGGTTGACGTGTCTGATGACGTGGCACTGACGATTACATTTTTGCTGCCACGTCAATTTTCCGATCGGACATGTCAGCCGGAATTCAGTTTTGAGACAATTATGCAATACTTAATAAAGGTTTGGATTTTGTTGCAAAATTTTAAAAGTTGAGTTTTATTTGCAATTCAGCAAAAGGTTAGAATTTTTTTGGCAATTAACCCTTGATAAAACGAACTAATTAAAAACAGTAAATCAAAATAACTGTGCAAATTAACACTTTTTTCTCTAGGGATTTTATAAGGAACAGACTTACCAGAAGATGAAAATGAAGAGAAATATACGACAAGCTCAAATATTACACGGAGATATGCTACCTCCTAGTGCGATAACAAAAAAAGAGCAAAAGATGAAGGACATTGGTTTCACAACATAATCACAAATCATCAGAACATAATTATAAACTCATACGTCTTATTTGCTTGGATTATTGAAGCCCATTTTCTCAAAGCATTTAATCGATAGCAAGGACAATGAAAGGTTCACCTCATCCTTTCCCCACCGAGCCTTAGACTTCCCCGCCCTCGTTGGCGGCGCCGGAGCCGGAGGCAGGCCGGGCCACGCAGACGACGCCGGCGGTGCTGAAGGGGAAGGCGCAGCAGGCTTCAACAACGGCCATAGATGGGTCGAGTACAGCCGTCGGAAGCCGCCAAGCGCCAAAACGACTGCGCGCAGCTGCATAGGGCTCCGATGGTAGTGCCTAGTGCAGATCAGCTCCCACAGCCGGTCGTCTTGCGCCGTCCTCCGCCATTGCCGGCTGACGCATGCTGCCTTGGCCAGAGTCCGGCCGTCGTCGACGTGCCGCAGAACCTCGTAGAGTAGATTCTCGTCCAGTAGCACGGCTTCAACGTTCTTGGGCGTCAGATCTACTTTTTCTATTTTCCCTTCTCCTTGCCGGATCTTCTTGTTCGCGTCGCTGCATCCATGCGGCGGGCAGTCAAACTCTCCGCCGTCAAGGGATCGTTTCATCGGTGGATCGGAGGGTTCCAACTGTGGGTGAGAAGAATTGGTTGGGGGAATAGATTACTGGGGGCGATTTGATCTGGGAATTGGCTGTTTTCGATTAGATCAAGATCCGAAATGAATGCTTTTGTTGTTATTCGCTAGATTGACGCTTTAGTCCCTGCGACAAAGGCATTTATATCGATTTGGTCCATACATGTCGGCCTTAATGCAAATAGAACCGATAAGATTATGAAAATAAAAGACTGGACTACATTAATTTTGGTATTTGGCAAATTGGATTTAGGATGTAAATGGGTCGGGCCGGGTGCGGGTTTAGCAATACCCGTACCCGACCCACCAGCTAAAAAATGCACCCATACCCGGCCCGCTACCCGATTAACCACCACGGGTTCGGGTTGGGTTTTACCGCCGGGTAAACGGGTACCCAAATTATTGCAGTTAATTGGGTTTGATCGGGTTATTTTTACCCGCTTACCCGTCACTCGAGTACCGTCATATTTAAAAAAGAAAAAAAAAAAAAAAAAGAGAGCAGCAGAAGAGCCAAAGAGTAACGAAGAGACGACCAGGGCCAAAGTTTTGATTTGAATGGACAAATTTACAAACACTATACAAGTCCTTCAAGACTTCAAAGTCACAGCAATTAGTACTAAGCAGGCCAAAGTTACAGACAATAATGAAATTATTAAACTCAAAATTCATAACACCTTACAAACTCACAGGCCAAAAGAACTCACACGTTCAGTCAAATTGAAGCCAAGGCGAAGCCAAATCGTGAGGAATGAGGTCGTCGAGCTTCAGTCAAATTGAAGCCAAGGCGAAGCCAAATCGTGAGGAATGAGGTCGTCGAGCGGAGACGGAGATGTGGGCGTCGGAAACGGAGGCCCGGAGGCGGAAGCGTGGGCGCCGGGCGGAGGTCGGAAATCAGAGGGGTAGATCGCCGATAATGGAGATGAGAGGCAGAGCCGGCGGTCGGAAATCAGAGGGGAGAGGTCATCGCCGATAATTGATATGAGGATTGAGGAGATTGAATCTGATAAATGGATATGTCGTACTCGTACTCGTGCAGAGCAGATAGAGGGCTAGGGTTTGTGAACTTTATTTGGCAAATGTATTAAATTTTATGCCTTTTATCTCAAACCCAATAAATCTGGACCTTTAGATTATGAAAATTGTTTTTTAAGTTTATATTTTTGTAGTTAATTAACTAAAGACTAGATCTTGAAAATTAAGTGTATTAATTTTTATTGATGCTATATATTCTACCAGAGTCCCTCGATCCTTTTAGTCTTTTTTTCTTTTAATTTTTTTATTTGTTTATTTTTTATTTTTTATTTTTTTGATTGTACTCGATAAGTCATTATAGATGTTGGGTAGTTTATTTATTTAAAAAAAAATAAGTGGAGAAAAAAAAAAGTTGAAAAAAATAAAAAGGACGTATTCTATGAATCCGTTTTTCTAATAACATTTTATTAGAAAAACGTATTCTACTTATACGTTTTATAATTAATTTTGAATAATTTTAAAAATATTTATTTTCTTTTAAAAAGAGTCAAAATGAATAAAAATTAATAATTATAAACCGTATTTAACAAATCCGTTATCCAAAACCCTAAATTGATTGATTTTTAGGGTTTTAAAAATTGGATTTATTTAATGCGATTTTAATTCATAATTTAAATTTTAAGAAAATATTTTAAACCGTATATTATAATTACGTTTTTAATTAACTAAAAAATATAAAAAATATTAAAAAAAGTATAATTATTATACGTTTTTAAATGAAATGTTCAAAAAAAATAAAATAAAAACGTATTTTATAAATACGTTTTACAATTAAATAGGTTTAAAACGTATTTTAGTAATACGTTTTACAATTGAATAAAAAAACAAACTTTTTTCTCTTCTTTCCCATTTCATTTGCGCGACGAATCCTCATTCTGCAGAAATTGCGAAAGCTTATCGAAAAAAAAAATTTGATCCAATTGCCACCCCGACGTGAATCGACAACAACAACACGAACCTTATTTCCGGTTAAGTCATTCGCACGAGGTATATTGGTTTATCTGATCTTTTGACATTGTTTGGAGTTGTTTGAAAATTGGTAATTGTTATAGTATGTTTGAATATGGTGGTGTTTGAAAATTGTGAATTGTTAATTGTTAATTGTTTATCGATTATGTGTGTATGTTGAATTGGAGATTAGAATTTTGTTCTAAATTGTCAATTGTGTATTGGTTGGTTGTTGTTGGGCTTAGGGTTTTTTGAAATTAGGGTTAGAATTAGAATTATGACTTTCAATTTATTCGAAATATAGATGAATTGTATGTTATTGTTGGATTATAGGTATTAAGGTTTTGGAGGATTAATCGATTGGGAATATTTTTTTTGGTTTTTTCATTAGAGTAAAAAGATGGGTTTAAAGAATAATTGAATTTTTTGGATGTTGGATTACACATTATGTGTTGTTGTAATTGGGAAGAGTTGAAAGTTTTTGTTTGCAATAGGTATAAATGGCGTATTGTGGTCCGTATTTTGTTAATTTGTATTGGCGATGTGCGAGGGAACAGTTAAGACATTTTGTTTCATTTGTGGATAGTTCAGATGGTTCATTTGTTATTACGGGAGGATATAATATGAACAATTGGTACAGATGATTAATGAAAATTGTCGGTTTTGAGAAGGTTGGACAATTCAAGCGATTACTTTAATGTTTCGTCAACTCGATGGTTCGTGGACTTCCGGAAGACTCGATAACGATAGTGCTCTTGAGTGGATTTATTTATCTCCTTCTATGTCCGTTGTGTATTTGCATTTATCGTTGGAGGCAATTACACCGTTCACACAATTTGAGGATTTTACTCCTTATTACGGGGGAATGGATGAGGGCACGTCGACTTCTCATCTACGTTGGAGAAATGACAAGCCCACCAATTAGAGAAAGGGCAAATGAGGACGGGGAAGAAAGTGACGAAGATTTCGCACTCGGTGAAGATGATTTTACAAACGAGACCTCAGAAACCGAATCAGATAGATCAGTGAACGAGGAGAGTGAAGCCGAGTTCATTGAAGAAGAACAACCCTTTCCTAGTGGTGGTTGGCACGTATACCGCGAGATGGGTGAATGGGAGCCGTCCAGGATAGATGAGGACGAGTATGCTATTCCACGCTGGAATGGCGACATTGAGACCATATGTTTGGGTATAGTTTTTCGGAGCAAGCAAGAAGCTCAAATGGCTTTAATGGGTTCGAACGTCGATAGGTTGCGGGAGATTCGGGTAAATGATTCAAATCAAAAGTCATACAAAGTGGTCTACAGATCTAGTGAAGATCCGCCTTGTGTGTGGAAGGCTCGGGTGACTAAGTCCAGGCGGGTTCAAGAAATGTGGGAACTAACTGAATGGACTGATAGACACACTTGTATGCAACCGGTCGAGAGAAATGACCACAGAAATGTAACCGACCAAATGATTTCAAATCTCATTCGTAATAAGATTCGAAAGAAAGTGGAGTACGGCGTCGACATGATCCAGGCTGATGTGAAACAGTGCTGGAAAGTGGATGTCAGCTACAAGAAGGCATGACACGGAAGGAGAAAAGCCATCGAGAGTGTTTATGGCACTTGGGAATCGAACTTTGCAGAACTCTCTCAATAAGCAAAAATTAACTACAAATATATATGTTGTTTGTCTGTCGCTATGTTTATCTATTTATTATGAAACGTTTTGTAAGGTGTAGGTATTTTGTCGCGCTTCAAAGAACGAATCCCTCCACAGTTGTCGGGTGGGAATGGCAGGGTAGGGAAATGGCGCGACAACTTTGAGACAGACAATTCAAATTTGTATTCTGGGCGTTTGGTCCCGCCATTCAAACTTTTCAAATGTGCCCGCCGGTTATTAGCGTCGATGACACACATTTGCGTGGATCGTACAAGGAAAAATTGCTTGTGGCCACGGCACAGACTGCGAATAAGCGGCTATTGCCAGTCGCGTATGCGCTTGTCGATGAAGAAAGCACGGACAATTGGTCAATTTTCCTTAAGAATCTGCGGCAATATGTAGTCTTCCAGAGACGGATCTGCGTTCTTTCCGATAGGGATGCGGGCCTACTCCGTGCCATTAAATCATTAGCAGATTGGCAAGAACCCGCTGCGTATCACCGGATTTGCCTTCGACACCTTCGAAGCAACTTGATGACTAAGTTCAGGAGTAAGAAAATTCGGACTTGGTGTTGGGAATTAGGTTCGCAGTTGTCGGAGCGAAAGTTTCGAGAGACAGAACAACGACTGTTGGCATTGAGTTCTGAAGACACAATTACCTTTTTCGAATTCCTTTGAACAAGTGGACCCTATTTAAAGATCAAGGATGCAGATGGGGCACATTGACAACGAATATGTCGGAGAGTTACAACATATTGTATACTATATAATATATATACTATATAATATATACTATATGTTAAATTATAATATATATGTATATACAATATATTAAAAATACTATATACTATAAAAAAAGATCTTGATGTTGAAGGATAAGAATAAAATTTGCGCAATAATAAACGCGATAGCCTAGCGGCCTAATGGTTACGAGGTGCCCCCAGAGATAACGGACTCACTCGAACCTGGGTTCGAGTCCCGAATCTGGGATCCTCTTACCATTTTTTTACATATATAAAACGGATTCAACGAATCCGTTTTTCAAATAATTAAACATAAAACGGATTCGTCGAATCCATTTTTCAAATAAATATATAAAAAAAAAATCCTTCTTCTTCCCCTACGCGAACAGAAACACAGAGAGCAGAAAGAGAAGAGAGCGAGTTTGAGTTCGGGAAGAAGAAAAGACGCCGCCCCGCCGCGCCAACGCCGCCTACTGCACTGCACTGCCACCGCGCCTCCTTCCCATCTATTAGGTACGTTTCTTCTATGTAGCGCCCCGTTCGATTTATAGAATTTTTTGGAATATTCTATTTATCGAATATTATTAAGAAGGTTATATTTATTT